TCAAGGACAAAGAAACCAAAGTACAAACCACGATGACTGATCACTTTATACAGTCCGAATCAATAGTCAGTTTGCGGGAAAAATATGCAGCAATAACTAACTGGTAGCCAAGGGTCTACAGACGATCTCTCAATCGCGTAAGGTCGGTCATACGGGAAGGCGAGTTAGCAGACAGCAATGAAACTTAACTTTATACTTTATAAAACAGAAATCGTGATTTACAAATGATAAATTACAAGGTAACATTATTCTTTCTGGAACGACTGATCGATAAATTAATATTTAATATTACAATATTAATGAAACAGCTCACATCGGTAAAATATTGCTTCTTGAACCTTCGGTAATGCAAATAAAAAACTGTCCCATTTGTAATCGTCGCGTTGTAGGCAGTAGTAGGAAAAAGCATCACTGTCGAAGCCATATTTAACAGGTAGTTGTATCCTGTACCCGTACTCATCAGCTTTGAGAAGTAGCCAGTCTCAATCTGCTGCTAGACAAAGGTCTCGAACTAGACGAAGGTACTTCTCCATCGTGCTATGTTTTCCACGCCATTCGCTCACAAGATGCCGACAAACCTACCGATTTCACTTTGCACCTGTTGGTTGGTTTTGCTTTACATCATTTACGTAATGTTTGAATTCAGTCGTGCACTTTTTAGGTATGTCTCCTTGAAATCGGTCGGACATATTGCCGGTTCAGTTGTTTCATCGATATGATCAAGTTGCAGACCCGTTTCCACTATAATCTACTCTTTCTCTTCCTATTCCTTCTCAACGTTTCGCTATTGACATCTTTATCGTCATCCAATACATCAGGATTTGTCAATCATTAGCTACGTGCAATATGGTCGTTGTACACACGACGTGTCTAGCCGTGTGGTCGGTTCGTCCTTCACCATGCGTTCGCGTATTGAAGAAGACCTGCTGGCAAAGAGGAATACGACATTTGCCGACAACAGCGCACGTTACGCAATATTAATCCAAAGTTCCAATGGTGCAATGGTCAGACAACATCGGTCTGCTCAGCTTCTAAGCTTCTGCTAATCTTTGACAACGACGATACAGTAACGGTTCCATTCCTCTCCGCACCACCCTTCTCGACCGTGCATCAAATTTCGTCGATGATGGTCCGCCCGGGAACCTCTGATGTCGAAGGGTTCTCGACCTCTGAAGCCCGCACCGGTTCAAGAGAAATCTGCCTTCCCTCGCTTGCAAATGATGTCGCATGGTGTCGGTCCTAAGGCAATGCGTAACGACCGGCCGTTGTGAGCGAAGCGATACCCCGCAGAAAAGAACACTTCTGTCCTCACTCACTTGTACTAAATGACCTTTCGTAGAGGCTACTGCTTGTTATGCTGTTTATCGTAATGTTATTGGAGGAAAAAAAGGAGATCGGTTGCGTTTCTTTGGGGGCACTTCAAAGGACGAAGGCAGAAGTTTACTTTCTCGCCTCGCTCGCCTAGCCTTTTTGATGACGTAAGCCATGTCATCAAACCATGTTAATCTGTCACTGCGACCACACCGAGGTACTTCACCGCATTAACCGTGGTCTCCGACGTCTGAATTAGATAATTTCTTTTCTAACGTCCCGGTTCCGTGTGTTTAGAAGAATTTAAAGAACACTCCAAACTGTTACTCAGACTGATGATAAATCCGTATGAGTTAACAAAAGACTATATACGTAGTATGTACCAACTTGAAAAGGCAAATGACAATCAGTTTACTAACCTCCTCTCGGTTGTGTCTACTGGTTTGCAAAAAAGTAAAATTATGTGAGATCCCGATTGTACTTACTGATACAAACTCCTTTTCCGTCGGGTACCTCTTTCGACTGTTTCGCGACGCATCAGTCATAAGCTCATGCCGTGAAAAAACCATCCGACCGTAATATTTAAAAGCATTTTATTTATCATTCTCCAATGTCACGGTGCTCTCTCTGTGAACGAGCTGAAACGCGATGGAAGCTGTCCAGTGAGCACTGTCTGCTTTACAACGAATGTCATAAATTTCTATGTATAATAATTGCGGCTCTGACGTGGTTCAGCGCATATTCGAGCTTTTTTCTTCGCCGCTGGCAAAGCTCGCTCAATCGTTGACCATAGCACATCGAACCCGTAGATAAGTTGACCCTCTGATGCAGACTGGGGATGTACAGTCAGTAACGCGTCAGAACCAGGAGATCCCAGGCTCGAACCCCGGTCGAATCACTCACTTTTTTCTTTTGAGGTTGACAGACGAATACCAGTCTGTGGGAAAGAAACAGGAGAATACTCACTATACTTGTGACATACATGTTGTCGACTCTGCATTTAGAACAAAGCGCTCCTGACTGATGGTATGGAAATGCAGATCAACGCCCCATTATTAACTTTATGAAATAAACGATGTCAGAAATGGCTCCACCATCAAAGTGTAAGAAAGACCGACATTCAAACCATTATAAGTTTTATTATTTGGCAGCAATTTACAGGAGATCCATTCCAATCCAAAGGTCACGGCTTCTCATGCTTTCAAGCATATCAGCAATCAATATATGGCCGTCAGAAAGGCTTCGTACTTCTTTCATCATCTGAGTCAACCAGAACCGCCTACCCAGGAAGATCATGTGTTGTTTTTCCGTCCCGATCATTTTCGACTCTCACAAGAGTTCTTTATAATTTTAACTACTGGTGAGTAGACCATTTTCAACGTTGCATTAGACCTCACTATCAACGCAGAGGAAATAAGCTGCCACAAGTATCAGTAGGCCTTATTATCAGTAAGGTAATAACTGCAACAATCAGATCTGCGGAAAAAGTGCTGAACAATAACAGCACAGACATCCGCAATTCTCTGAGCTCGATTAGCACCGGTCAAGATCAAGAGCTTCCCGATCGACTAGAGCCTCATCTACCACAAGTCAACAATCCAGATGTTTCCTAAAATGATCCCCCGAGATGGTCGATCAGCTGAATAACCAATCGTCATGTGCGGATACTTTCGCATGATTTATCTCCCCTCTCCCAAATATCGCCTTTCCTTTCGAGTCGCGATGGCACCTACTGGTTCCGATCCGAAGTTGAACAAACTACCTCAATGGTCCAGACTGCCAGGCGTGGAAAAATTAGGTCATATGTATAATCGAGACACCTGTCAAAGCGTGTCAAAATGACCACTGCATTGTCCGTTTTGACAAACTGAGGGTTCATGAGAAATGTTCATCAGTAGCGTCTCGAACGTTTAAGATTCCGTCTGGCACAAGGAATAGAGGATGGGACAATAATGACATACATTAAGCAGGTGGGGTTTAACCTGTGCTCATTAACACTGTCCTAGCGTACATTTACTGATATTGCCAACAAAGTACATAGAGAGTACCGAGTATCATTTCGGTAGAACAGTGCATTAGTCCAGCCAGACACATCGATACATCGCAAGCGGTAAAATGTCATGGAGGTGTAGCCTATTTACACAGACCCT